CCCGCCCCACGCTCGCCTCACGCTCGCCTCACGCTCGCCCCGTCTTCACATTACTTACGCACGCGCGCAGATAACAGTTGACGTTGCCGGAGTCGCTAATCAATCAAATCATATCCTTTCTCAATTCGTACACGCCACCACATCTGGTGTGGAGGAAGATTCGCCAAATAAAAGGACGCTCATCACCAAATACGATGCCATGCCTCCGTAAGAATGGAGAGATGAGTACATTTCGATATGCGATTGTTGATAAACTAGACGCTCACTACGAAAAAATATCGAGTTCGTCAAACTACTCTCCAGACTTTCTTTCGATTAAAGAGAGAATGGTGAGCCATCCATTGCAATTTTCAAACAGAGCGTCTGAAGATGACAATACCCCATTTTTCATGTCGGAAATGCTCTTGCAATAGTGAAAAGAACTGCCCCAGGTCCTGATGGTATTCACAACCAAATGCTACATCATATTCCTGAAATGGCAACGCAATTTCTCCTCTGGCTTTATTATTGCATCAGAGAAGAGCCCACCATTCCTGCTCTATGGCAAGAAGGCAACATTGTCCCAGCTCTAAAAGAAGGAAAAGATCGATCGTTGCCATCGAACTACCATCCTATCTCTCTTACCAACTGTGTTTGTAGAGCGCTGGAACACATGGTAAATCAGTTTTTGGTCTGGATCTTGGATTGTTGAAATCTGCTCACCCCAATCCAATGCGGATTCAATATTATTGCTTTGGCAACAGAAATTTCAAGCTCTTTCGACTCATGGCAACACCTTGTGGTCGTACTATTTCGTATAGAAAAGGCCTACACCACTTGGAGGCATGGTATTCTGTGAACTCTTAGGGATTGATGGGGAAGTTCCTCCTATTCCTCCAAAACTTTCTTTCGAATAGATCCTTCGAGTTTGTGTTGGTGACAAACTGTCTAGGGGTCAACCATAAATTACGTAACACAAATTTGAAGTATTTTGAATACCCCCGCCCTGTAGCGAACCCCCCGTAACGCACGCTTCAACCCCCCTCTAAAAATTACGTAACGCTTGCGACAAGCGCCCCCCCCCCAATTCCAATAAGTGAAACTCAATATAACGCGTTATATTAATTGTATTTGTGTTATACATTAAAATTGGTTATAATTAATTAACGTGAAAATTAGTTGGTGGTGCAGACTGCGCATTACAGCAAGTTTGGGGACAATGTTTTTACTGAAAGAAGGACGTGTAGGCGAGAAAATTTCTGACGAATATGCTGTTGTGGATGATGCATAGGCGCCAAATAATTATTTCCGCAAAAGTTGAAAGATTTTAAAAACAAATGTTCGCATCATGTAACAATAAACTATAACCCTCTACCCCTATGTAATACAGTGTAACACTGTCTCAAACCCCTCCCCCCCTTCTGAAGCATTACGTTATTTATGGATACACCCTCTTGAAAATGGCAGCCTGAAAGGGTTGGTGTTGAGTGCCACTTTGTTTTCCATTTCCTTAAGTAATATAGCATCAGTCATGAGAGAAACTGGAAAGGATGCTGTTAGTGAATGATTTTGCCAAAACCAATTTTGACCATCAGTTCATCCATGAGCATCAGTATCATCCGTAGGCAACTACGCAAATGGAGCACCGCCACTGGCGTCAACTACCTACTGGTGTTCACTTCTTAGCAATGTCAATCCATATCTCTGTCTAGGAGACCATCAGCTACCATTCGCTGAATGTGCCAGGTTCCTTAGACCGACTTTTGATAAACGTTTACTTGGCATGTCCACATTTGCAGTCTGCAAACTAGAAATGCCCCCTCCTTAAATCTTCTACGTATGCTGAGGTACCTAAAGGGGAGCTGACCGCATTTGTCTTTTCTCCACACAGACCTCTTTAACAGTATCACAACCATATTTCCACAGTTCATACCATACTATATTGATTGACTGCCACCTAGCTGATGCCGCTGAGCCCCCCCCCTCGCGCTGCCATTACACTCACACACGCACACCTCACACCAGCAACAGCTAGTCCTTCTTCCGAAGGGCGATAAGGCACCTACTGATCCGGCAGCCTATCGGCCAA